TGTTCAACTGACCCTCGGGCACGTGTTAGTTCCGGAGTGGGCTCTGCTCAGGTTGAATCCAGCGGGGGTAACTCATGACATTCATCATGGTGTGGGGTGCAAACAACCTGTGCCAGATACATCCTTTGATAATGCAGCAAAACAGACAACCAATGTCTCATTTGAGTGCATAGATAACAGCTGCCAGAACACGAATATGTCTTGTCCTTTATCTTTCTATAAGTCGACTCACCGACAACATCAAACGATATGGTTTGCCCAACTCCAACTCCAGCCCACCGAGGCTTTCATTTCAGAGAAATATGCGCCGACTTCACTTGATGAAAGGAAGGCTGACCTCGGACTCGACACCACGTGGTCCAGCCGGAGTCAAACGTAGGACTGCCGCCATAAATGTGACTCGTCGGGTGGCCCAGACGGCTAGGGCTACAAGGTTTCATTCGGCTGACGTGGAGACGAGGTCGGTAGGCGACCCGTCAGGTCATCAGTGTCGTAAATCTGTTACGTATGAAAGTGAAAAAGACTTTTCGACATGTCTGATTCGCATGCTGAGACCTGTCGACGTTCAGTATACTATGCCACATTGGATCCGTATCTCCTGGCATAACCAAGGTCGGTTGATTTTAAGGTAGGAACTTAATGCACCGTAAATGTCTTTTCGGCTCGTTGCCCAAAATATATTGCCGTGGTGGGACAGCGCGCCGTCGTCACTGATCCGCCGCGTTGCCCGCGGGTCCGGTCCGGCGCAGCGGCAAGGGCAGCTCCGACTCGGCCGAAGCACGGCAGGTCACCTAATCCGGCTGCCGTTGTCAACACCAGCGCATGACCCGACCAGTCGACGACACGTCTGTCCGCTCTGGGCGAAGAAGCAGCCGTATGCAGCCATACAACCGTATGCCGTGCTGCTATATTGCATCGATTATGATACACCAATTTTGTTGACTAAATTACATACTGAAAGAATGTAAATATTTCTATTATATTATCATGTTCATGTTTCATGTTTATCTTGTTTATCATGGTATCATGTGTATTGCTCAACCCGAAAAAATGCGCGTGACAATGCAAGATTGCTCGACGTCACAATCCCCATTCTCTCCGATCTCCGAGAAAGGGTGGGGTTTATCCGCTGCAAAATGCGTGTGGTGAACCACATGCCTCTGGCGAGAGGTACTCTCGCGGATCAGAGCATGGAGGGGCATATTAATGCTGAGCTATACGACGGAGCACTGTCTGCTGTCTCGTCAGGTGGCAGGTATCTCACCTCTGGTTCAGCGCTGCCCAACCTCCGCGACGTTGGTGTAGTGACACCGGACGGTCGTTCGTCGCACCTCACCACGTGCCTAATGCGCTCTCTGACTTCTGCTCACTGACTTATTGGCATACTGACTACTACTCACTGACTTACTTACTGGTGTGATTACAACGTCCCAGACACACACGCCGCACATTGCAATTTCTTTTTATTGGCATTTACAATACAAATAAATATGTGTAAAATCAGTTCTGCAGACGCCGCACGAGCCGACACAGTGCCAGCAAAGGGGGCTGAAGCCGCCCGACTCGCGACCGGCGGCCTACTCGAAGGTACTTGGGTGGCGACAGACTGGCGCAGCAGGAAACAGATAACAGGCGCTCGGACGACCGGCAGAGCCGACGGCGCGGAAGGCGAGAGTCCGCCGCGCCACCGCTCCGTCTAGATACACAGATAACAGCCAAGCGACAACCTGATACGCATCATGACACTCGACGCTGAACATGAGTTCGGAATCCACTTTGCTGCCGAAGGCCAGGCTTCCTCTTAAGCTACCGACAGTCGCAGTTGCTCTTTTACACACTAAACGACAGCGGGACGGGCGGTTCCTCGCCGCACGGCGGAAGTTGGTCTGACTTTCGGTTTGGGAGTTAGTCGCACATTCGCCGGCACACATTTTCCCAAGACTTGTGTTAGATGACCAGTTAGAAGCGCACTTGACACCAGGTTTGGATTAAGCTCATTCATCATTTTCCTGTTCGATGCATGCATAGAAAAGCACCATGGGCGAATCCGGAGAGTTCTGTTTAGTCATGCGCAGGACAAACTAACGGGAGCTCGATATGGGAACAGCATTTCAGCACTCAGTCCTCCCACGGAAGAATGGGAGCATGTTAAATAAATTAATCACTTATTAAATGATTGGGTTCCTTGATCTGAACCACCTTGCGCGAAACGCGACACGTTTTCACCAGCATAAAGAAGGCACAAGTTGGCACACAAGTTTGAGAGTCTCGACCGGCGAAAAAGAGGACGACAGCGCCCGGATTTTTCGTAGCAGCTGTTGTCAGGCATTGATGGCGACCTCCACTTCAGGAAGACGTTCTTATGGAATCGCGGTTTGAAGTGGGCAAAACAGAAAAGTTGTTCCTTCCCGTTGATCTAATTTACAGCGCGCCGAAGAGGTGGCGGCCCTTGGTGCAGTACCAGCTGACGAGCATAGTTCCACCTAGCAGCACGACAAGCAACAGAAGTATCAGCGCTATCCGCCACAGGCGCCTCGATCGCCGACGCGCCTCCGTTCGTCGCTTCAGGCGGCTGGCGCCACTGACATCTAGCGTAAATTCGCTGAACTTGCGGTCCTGAAAGCCAGGGTGCCGGGCAGGGTGTTAGCGTGTTAGGGGGAAACGGCCGAAGCAGACTTAGTGTTGAAGACTGTTAAATGGGCGTGACGCGAGGGGAGAGCAAGACGCTATGTACACTAGCTAGAGGAAACATATTACACAAACAAACGCAACTTATGCGCGACTGAATGCTTATGTTCACGCTAAAGATCATGCATGCCTTACAGCTAAAGCCTTTAATATTGGCGCGCTTGCACACGACATTTTCACCAGACTGCACACGGAGTCAAACGCTGATGACAGCCACACTTGGGACACCTCATTGCGAAGTAAGAAGCCTCTACTCAAAGCACGACATCGGCCCGGAATCACACGCAACATCAGGGACGTCTGGCGCCAGCTGACCGGGGCGCACGTGTCATCCGTCAGCTGACGCAAAACGCGAAGTGTCAGTGTCAGGAAGCGGTTAGTCGGTTAGACGACAGGAGTTACAGCCTCCGAGCCATGATGCGTGGTCGAACTGAACCAACGTCTGTGCAAATATCATCCAAGTTAAACATAATATGCTTGGGTCGCAGTTGCTAGCTTCTTGCAGGAAGCACACTAATTCCACTCGAGTGCGCTAATTCTAAGACGTCTGCAGTGATATGGAGACAGCACGAAAGCTATAAAAAGAAACATGTGACATCTGCATAACTGGATGCATCCTTACAATCAAGCAGGAAAACACAATAAAGGCAATGAAGTCAGCCAAAAAATAAAAATACAGAACCTTCTAACATCAATGCAAAAATCAACAACATGGCAGCTACTTACAAATGAGCAAAAATGTCTTAGCATCATGGTCCCATCCAAGGTCTAGAACTACAGCACATGACATGCCACCACTTCGTTCGTGCAACGACCGAACGGAAAACGTCGTCTGTCAACTGCCGCTGGCAGCGGTCGGTTGTCCGTAGCTCCCGGCACCCGGCGGTCACCGTGTCCAAACAGTCAGCAGTTCTCGTAACAGTCCTGTCCCCGGCAATCCACAGGCGTCACGCGCCGTGCGCAGCGCCCGCATTCGCCAAACATCCGGGCAAGCGCGTACAGCCCGCCTGGGCCAGCCCCGCGCGGCGCCTGTCGGCACCGCGCCCCACCGAACCCTCCAGGGGACGGCCCAGGGCGCGGCGCGGCCGGCCGGTCCCGCGCGTCGCCTAGCCCCGGCGCCGCGCCGCCCGCGAGACACTCACGTTCAGCGCCGTCGCCTTCTGCACCTCGGCCAGCAGCAGCGGACTGGGCTGCAACGCTCCGTAGCCGTCGTGCGCGCCGGCGCCGTAGTAGCCGTTCCAGAGCCGCTGCTGGTCGCCGGCCGGCGGCGCCGCCCAGAGAAGACGGCCGGCGCCGCTCTCGCCATCCAGCGTGCTGCTGGCGAACGTGACGTGTCGCTGCGAGCCGTCCCCGGAGCTGGAGCCGGAGGAGCCTGGGCGGGAGCCGGAGCCGGAGCCGGGGCCGGGGCCCGGCGGCGGCGCGGCGCAGGGGCGCTCCACGACGACGGCGGTGAGCGAGGTGGGGTCGAGCCGCGCGGGGAGGCGCGACGACGCTGTGCCGCCGCCCCAGATGCCGGACAGGTCGGACAGGCGCCGCAGCCAGTTGTGGCTGATGGGCAGCCGCGGTGGCACCGGGGGGCTCGGCGTCAGGCGCGGGCAGGAGCCAGCGCTGATCGAAGCCGGTCGCTCGCCCGCCGCCGCCGCCGCCGCCTCGTCCTGGTCCTCGTCCTCCTCCTCGCTGACGAGCAGCCGGCGGCCGTTGGTGCGCAGCCCGGTCTGCTCCCAGAGCTTGGTGACGAAGGCGATCGGCGCCGTCACCGTCTGCGGGTCGGGCCGGCCGGAGGAGCGCGACGAGCGCGACGCCTGTGAGCTCACCGAGCCGGCGGAGTCGGAGTCCGCGGAGGAGCGCACTTCGCTGCTGGCCCGGCGGATCATCGCCACCGAGCGGCTGTTGAAGATGACCTGGCTGAACTCCTCCAACACACGCTCCGGCATCAGCTGGTCCTCCTGGGCGCCGGGGGCCGGGGCGGGTGCGTGGGATGGGTGGAGGGTGACGCTCGGCGAGAGGTCGGGCGACGTCAGCACCAGCAGCGAGTCAGTCACGATAGAGTCGGGAGCGGCGCCGTGATGGTCGCCAACGGGCGGAATCTGCGGATCGGGAGGATATTGCGATGATGAGCCGATGTGGAATGAGGGTTGCCGAAGGGATAGAAGTGCGTTCTGAAAGTTCATGGACATATTCTTAACGTGGCGGCAGCTTGTGGATACGCTCACGGTGTAGTTGGCGTTCTTATCCACGTGCAGTTTTGGGCACTGGATGGACGATACCTCTAGACGATGAACCTGATGAGACGGCGACAATGACTTGGTATGTGTGCATCTTGTAGTGATGGCTACAACGTACTCAGAACTCTTCGTTACCTCCAGCTTCGGGCAGACGGCCGGTTTTGCTGTCACAGTCGCTACTGTTACGCTCTTGACAAAGTCGGGATTCTTCAGAAGCCTCGGGCGAGCTCGCCTCGCTGGTGCCTTTTGAGAGGACTGGCGACGTGCAGGTACAGGGGTGAAGCAGAGCGTCGGACTTTGGCGGCCGGCGGGCCAGATTCACGGCGATTCCGCTGACGAACGTGCCATCCAGAGCCAGGACATCGAGCCCCGCCCAGCCCTGGCCAGCGCGTAGCGGCCGCACCCGCCTCTGGCGCGTCTGGACCTCGTCCCAGCGCGCCTCGGGCGGCGGCGGCTCGGCGGCGGCGGTGACGGCGTGGCGACCTCGGTCACGCGGCCACCGGTCCCGCTCGGGCGGCGGGGTGCCAAGCGGGCGCCGCGCGGGCCCCGCTGAGGTCACGCTCAGCCGTTCCGTGTCACGCTCGCTGACCCCGCTGACCCCGCTGGAGGAGCCGGGCCCGGCGTCCTCTTCCGCCGCCGAGCCCGGCCGGCTGTCCTCTCCCTCCTCCTCCGAGGAGCCGGCCTCGCGCGCCGTCGACGGCCCCTCGCGGAAGAGCGGGTTCACCCTGCAGCAAAGGACGCCGGGTGAGTCAGGGCTGCGTGCCGCCACACCCGGCGCGGCGCAGCGCGGCACCGCCTCGCGGCCGCCGCTCGAGCGCACAGGGACAATGGTGGCATCGGCGGCGCTGGCTAGCGACAGCACAGCGGGCTCACTCGGCCGGCAAACACGGCCGATTGTATCACCCACTCGAGGCTGCCGCCGCGCCGTGCGGTTATCCTTTTCAACAGAGCATGTCCGAGACAATGTCACTGGAGACACTTTTCAGCGCTTACTGTGAAATAATCGCCGTGAAAATGATTCACAGCCGCACATAAGCCATAGCTGGCTAGTCAGTGGCCTCCCACCGCAGTTTTCTGCTTACCCAACCATCCACGTGGTGCACAGTTGCTTTCTTTTCAGCCGCACAAGCAAGTGCACGAGTGATGCTAGATTTACAGCACCGGCCTTGTCACACAAGGAAATGAACACATTTACAGTCACGTGCAAACCAATGGCTTAAACAAGGTAGACTGACCAATGACGTCACCGAGCAGGTGGCGCCATTTAAACGGAATACACGTGACGTTGTGCATTGTACTGATGCCCCTACCCATGCTGACACATATAGCGGCTTATAACGATGACGCCTACGGAAACGCACGTACGTGAGGGGAGAAGACATGGCCGCGCGTGAGAACAACGACCACCTGGCGGTCAGCTGGACCCCGCAGCAACATACATGTGCATTGATCGCAACACGTGCCTAGTCTGCAAACAACACATACCCCGTATTCCCCACCGATGATAACGACATACTCATGCACTCACACTCACATGCTTTCGTGGCACGCCAATAAATCCAAGACAATGGTGGGCGGCGCCAGCGTCGCCGCGGCTAGCTGGTGTCTGCCTCGGCATCGAGCTCCCAAGGCAGATAGTGAAAGCGCCCCAGTGAAAATGCATTTCCCTCGTTCGATTGCGTGTAGTCAATCACCGTGCAACCAGTCCGTGGCGCAGACCAATGTTCCATGACTTTTGGCTGTCTCGGAGCTCGGGCTCCACGGCTCAGACAAGCCGTCTTCTCAGAAAGAGGGTCAATTGAAACAGCAGGGACGCGGAATGCTGCAGACATACGTCAGGCCCCCGGCTGCCCAGCAACAGACGGACAAAATGCAAATCACGTTGGCATTGCAGCCGGAGCCAAGCTGGCAGGAATACTAAAACGGTACAAGGACACGACTCATGGGTCTGGAGAACACCGGCCTTTTCCCTGTGCCGGAGATCGCCCGTGTCACCATATGGCAGGCGGCGGCTCAACGACGCTCTTGGAATGGTCCCCTCTCAGGTGCTGTGCATGAAATGAGCGTTGCAGTGTGGCAGCTTGTTTTTACACGGAAGATAGCATTTCCTAGAAATCGGCAATATTGTTTCCAGCCTGTTGTTTTATGTATTAGTTGATGCATGTGGCAATTTAAGCCCGGTGCTGCTCGGTTTATCGGCATTTCATCGCCATACCCAGGGCTGGATTTGACTTTGAGTGACTTCGGTCTCGAGCCCGGACCCATGAGCAAGCCACGACGAATCAAACATTCAGTTCTTGGGTGCACAGGCTAAATGGCAGTCTTCAGGGTACAGCAAACGTGTTGAATGGTGGCGATTTAGAATCACTTAAAGGCTACATGCACGCAAGGAAAATCGTTTCCACGGGCGTGGGGTAATTCGACGGCGATGCATACGGTCAGCGGATGCAGCACCCGAACAGAGGATGTTGGATGGCCTCCCGGATGTTAACGAGAGGAAGGCATACACCGTAGGCGGCACTGTCGCAATGCTGGTCCAAGCCAAGCGCGCACGCCACTGCCAAATACACGGAGCGCGCGCGGAGGGCTGCCGCGCGTCGGGGGGTGAGATGCGATAGCCTTGGCAGATGCCAGCTAACCTGGTGGCAAATTTGCGGTGTCACTGTCAAGGTGACCGGTGATGTGTGTGGCCCTTAGAGTGCCCTTGGATCTGGACATTGCTAAAGTTAGCTGGCTAAGTTAGCTGCTAGGTATTTTCGGCACTGCAGCTGCCAGGTATTTTCGGCACTGAAGTCCAGGAAGAATTGTCCTGTCTTAGCCTGCAGAAAATGCCCCTCCTGCGGACAAAGAGGGTGTGCCGGCCGCCTTAATCTGCGCTTACAAAACTGCGTATATTGCGTGGATATTAACAAGGACTATCTATCATGCTGACAGAACAGCATACGAAAGTCATTCATCATTCAGCTGCGGCAGACTCGTTCACGCCAGAAAAAAACGCGCACGCCTATCGTCAGGCTGGCATAAAAACCTCATGGAAGGAATTCAACACACGCATGTAGCATGAATCAATCAGCGCTGTAGCAATTATTTGGAGTGCACTGCAAACCCAGTACATACTGAGCGTCCCGATTTGGCTCCCTTTGAGCTAACGGTACCGGTCCAATCGGGTCATGCATCAACTGAAGCGCAACGGACACGAGCCACATGTCACTCCAATCTAATTCGCAATGGCACCTTGATAATGATCCACTGAAAGTCACATTTGTCACGGTAGCTGGCCACGCCGGTATTGGTCGCACGACATTTTGGCATAACCTCATGCGGGACAATGAAAGTCGTTAACATGTGAGTGCGCTCGGAAAAACGCCCACTCGTTCCACGAGCAACACATCCAAAGGACACCCCATCGCCAGCGTCGCGAATGTCACCAGCACGGCACAGAGCCGCCCGGGCCCCGGCGCGCTGCCGCTACCCGGACCCGGCTGACAGGCGGCGCGCCGGCCTCCCCTGCGGAGCTCTCACCTGGTGACGCCGTAGACGGGCTCCCGGCTGCGCTCCGAGCGGGCCGACAGCGTGGCCAGCGGGTCGTCGGTGAACGGGCCGGGTCCGGACGGCGGCCGCCGGGGCGTCAGCCACTTGAGCATGGCTCAGCGCGCGGGCCGGGGGCGGCTCGGGCGCGTCCAGTACGGCGGCCGGACCGGGCGGTAGATCTCAGCCATGCTGCGCGGTCGGACCTGCGGCGAACGCTCCTGTCAGAGCCCTGAACACCCGTCAGAGCCCTCAGCACCCGTCAGGGCCCTGAGCACCCGTCAGAACCCCGAGCACCCGTCAGAGCCCTGAGCACCTGTCAAAACCCTGAGCACCCGTCAGAACCCCGAGCACCCGTCAGAGCCCTCAGCACCCGTCAGAGCCCTGAGCACCTGTCAAAACCTGAGCACCTGTCAAAACCCTGAGCACCCGTCAGAGCCCTAATCGCCCATCAGAGCCCTGAGCACCCTGCAGAGCCCTGGGCGCCACCAACCGTGCGTGTCGGCAGGTGGGGACGGGGCCACTTGGGAGCTGAGTGCGGTCTGGGAGCTGAGTGCGGTCTGGGAGCTGAGTGCGGTCTGGGAGCTGAGTGCGGGTCTGGAGCTGAGTGCGGGTCTGAGAGCTGAGTGCGGGTCTGGGAGTTGAGTGCGGTCTGGGAGCTGAGTGCGGTCTGGGAGTTGAGTGCGGTCTGGGAGCTGAGTGCGGTCTGGGAGCTGAGTGCGGTCTGGGAGCTGAGTGCGGTCTGGGAGCTGAGTGCGGTCGTGCCCGGCGGCGGCGGGGTAACCACATCCGCGCGCTGTGGGGAAACAGGGGCGCACCTGGGCGTGCCTGAGCGTGCCCGAGCGTGCCGGCTGGCACTGGCGCCGTTTCACATCCGGACACAGCTTTCCTGAAGCTGCACCGCTGACGTAAAAATGGACGGACCAGGCAGGTTTGTAAGCAGCAATGAAGCACAAATAGAACCATGTTGCCTTGCAAACACCCCCGCCATCGTGCAGCATGGCTGTGTTAAAGCACCCGCAGCGGCGCTCTTTCGGTGCAGTAGCGCACATAAAGAAGCTTCAGCTACCTGCCCGTGCAAAGACCGTCACCAGTTAAAAAATGGGGGGGGGGGGGGCGACTGGGTGTCCGGCGGTGATGCCTGCCGCCGTCAAAAACGGCACACCCGTCTCCTCACTAGTGTTAGGGGCGGCTGGGACGTCGCAGTTTTGCAGGCGGCACCGCCGACGTGGCGGCACACCGTTCCCCTCCCCCTGTTTGCGGTACACCAGCGGTGACGACATTTCCGCCGTCAGCAGGTACACGGAAAAAAGATCGGTCCAAAGAGCACGACCAACGGACAGCAGGCGGTGCCTGTCGTCATGCACCCCACGCCCCGCTCTAAGGTGACGCCCCGGCCCACGTGGCTTGCTCGGTCCGACAGGTGGCGTGAGGTTGTGAGGAAATAAACAATGCGAATTTACATTTCGCATGCATGCATGCATGCACGTATTTCAGTATGCATGTCAGTGGGCTGATATCAGAGAAATGTGTGCGCGGGATCCTCCGAATATAACTACCTTCATCTACACTGCAAATATCCGATGAAGGATGATGGAAGGTACCGTTATCTCAGTGATGCAAGAAAATGCTGCACCTGCTCGGCAACATAACGAGCACGTGTGTTGTAACTTTCTCTTGCGAGGAAACGAGTTGAGTCGACCGCCCAAGCGGTTCTCGCGTGGAATGTCACCGGTTTGATGCCCCAGTGAGGCGACAAGATTTCTCAAACCAGCCACGCCAGCGATGCTGACATATAAAGCCATTAACCCGTAGGCTTAACGGTGTGTAAACGGGACCTATCGGTGAGTAAACTGGACTCATCGGTGTGTTACGGGACTTAATGGTGTGTAAACGGGGCGGCTGAACACCTCGTCCGTGCACTCCGGGGGGCGGCCAACCCCGGCGACACGTACCACTCTCACTGTGCAGTCGCGGTCTCACGGATCGACAAAGGGACGCGCTACAGCTGCTCACGTATCATGCCTGCGACTTTGGTGTCAGTTCAGCGGTCTTACATGAGCTGCTGAAAAGAACCGGGTTGCGTGCTGACCGGCAGTTAGCCAGCTAAGCAGCAGACTTTTACGGTAAATATCTGTTTCGATTACGTCTCCAACTCCTACAAGGAATGATTCGACAAGCGTCTCACCTATGAGGATCACATGGCCACATCCGTTTGGTGTTTCTATTGTCATTTCCTTATACGGCATTCGACGCTACTTTGACCTGATCTGTGTAATCAGTAATAGCATATAATAGTAATCGGGTAACAGTGCCCGAGGTATTTACTGTAGCACAGCATACTTTCCAGAACCACAAACGATCGTCGCTGGATTACAAGGCTCAGCCTCTGTCACTTAAGCCACTGCATCGTGTTTTGCGTGTTTGCGTGCCTGGACATCCGCCAAAAGAATGCAGCTGATCCGTCCAGTGACCCGGACATCCAGCAGAGTCGAGGCTCGGGTTGACAACAGCTGTCGGTAGGAGCTGCCGGCCGCCGGGCGGCGGGCGGCGGCTGGGGTCACGGCGTGACCCAGCACCTCACGCCCGACTGTACTCGTCACGTCCCCCACCCCAGCCCGTCACGACCCCAGTCACGCTCCCCCGCCCCAATCAGCTGATCACTGAGGCAAGCCGACGTTCCGAAGGTCGACACGCGGCTTCCACGGGGCGCTGAAGGCGACGGTCCGCCTGGCGCTGACGTCACGCCAGCAGCAGGACATATGTTCGGGACCGATGATAACGCTCCTTGCATCCGTCATCGCACCAATGCCCCTCAGATCGTCTGCATCGGCGCATACATTAGCATGTGCTTACCAATACTGGATTGTCAGGTCTCGGCTCAGCCAGTAGGTCGAGTTGCATGAGTCTGATGACAAAGTCGTTGTCCCAGGGATATAAAAAGCTTTGCAGTCAACAACTTAACGCTTCCATGAATGGCTTAGGATTGCGGTTTGGCAATGGGCGGCTTGAAGTAACGCAATGCCGCAGACAAAAACCGTTTGTTGGCCCATGATACACAGACGTACTTCACTATTACCACCCGTGTCCATGACGAAAATGTTCGCATCGCAGGGATAAGTACGTGGACCTAAGCGCATAAAAGTCCTAGCAATCCGTCATAAAGTGCATGAACTCAGCATGTCCGTTAAGAGGACAAAACAACAGCGTCCATTCGTAAACTCGAAGCACCGCACAACAACGTATGTATACCAACGCCTGCAATACAACACAAGCTCGTCCGACACTGTCGGACGCTTCGCAGTTTAAACTCTCAGCAGGGAAGTTGTAAACAACGCCATTTTTGTGAAATCCCAACAACGCTAAACGGTTGATAAAGATGACAGTGAATCTGCGGTTTCTGAAGAGTCGGACAGCGTGCCTTTTGCACGTCACCTTGAAGCGTATAAAATAGATTTTGGTCACCAAACTGACAGTGGGAGACGTTTGCTGCACAGGAATATGCAGTGTGTGAAGTGACACCCAATAGGGTACGGCTTGAGCTAGACGCAATAGCATTCATCATGCAACGTTGCATGCAGACTCCATGGCCGCGGGCTACACAACATGCATATTCAAATTATATGCACCCACCGGGCCTATCGCATTCAATTTGTTTTAAAGTCAGCCTCTCAACCCTGCAATGTTTCCGAAATTATACGTTACATTTAGCTGAGGGCAAACGCCAATTCTTTCGGGCAGCCTCCGCCATGCGGTGGCTACTTTGCCTTCGCCATTTGGAGCGAGCTGGAGTTCGCCGGCGGTCAGCCTTCCGGCCTTGCCTAACGCCTGAGTGGAATGAGACTCCGGACTACCTCCGAGATACAGGGGAGATACAGGGCCTCCGACAAGACGACACGGGCCGCCAGGGGTCACCGCTGAAACATGGACTGCACTTCTCGGATGAAACCTCAAGGCGGCGTGATAAAAGCAACCTGGTCCACGGGCTGGCATGTGCCGATGGCAGCAAGTGTATTAAACGAGCGTGCCGACAAGCTTAAACGTTTATAAAAATGGCACCTGACGTCAATGAGAACGGTTTTTCGATAGGATCTCGGTCTACAAGCGTGCACCACAGCGTGGTCGCCCATATTGCAAGGGGCTCGCGAGGAAACTCAGAGTCGTGATGGTGCAACAATAAGTTTCTGGGAATGCCTGCCTCATGAACCCACAGGAAAGCGTCCGCCTCCATCCAGTGCAGATCAGTCGCCGTCCCCAGAATGTATTTCATCACGACCAGACCTCAACCGACATAAATTAATGGGTTATTTCATCGTGCTCACAGTCTAGCCTCTGTTTTGCAGCTGCATTACAAATAATGCATGTACTGGCGGACAGAGTCAAGAAAGGCGCAGAACGCAGGGTAGCTGTTGATTAGGGTTTAGGGCGCGTTGATAGCTATGGCCGTTTCGCGACCAGAACGCAAGGTACCGAAGGAGTTCGTGTGTTTGTAGGCGTCGAATCTCCCGAATCGAGTAGTTAATTGGTATGCCACTTGGACCTTCCACGATAAGTGAGGACAACTTATAGTTAGTAGTGAAGCGAACGCGACTCACCACTGTTTGTCCCAACCTGATGATTAGTTGCATCAGATATTATGAGAAAACATCGGCAAATCTCGGAAGGAATGAACGAGAATGCGAAAGAGGTTTTGACATTGCTTGAGAACATCAGGTATGACTTGAGCAGAGAGACTTTCACCTTCCTTAAACCCGTCGCAGGAGGCGGGCCTGCCGGAGACACGAGAGCATAACGTGGCAGCATTGCAGCGAGAATAATACACAGGTATTCATCGGTTTGTTGCTGCTATGCGTTCCGTGGTCACTTGGTCCGTGCCATTGACAATGAAGTCGCCAGACAGATCGGATCAGGTCTGCTGGCTAATCTGAATGCCTCGACTCGCAGAGTTAAGCCGGCAACCTTGGCAGTCACCCACGATTCACCCTCGGTAAATAGCCGATTACTTGCCCACCTAAGCCGCGCCGTTAACGGCTGAGTTTGCCACAATTTAGGCCATGGCCTTGACGTCGTCTGGCGGTGTTTGCTGGCGGCTCGGACATGCTTTCCCGGTGCACGTGCACTTGGCGTGTGGCTGATACCGATCCGAATGCCACGGTGGAAGGAAACGGGTAGGCTACGCGAGGAAACCATGTACACCTCGCCCGCT